GGCCCCTGGTTATTTTGGCATTATGAGGGTTGAGGGACCCCCCCTCCCCCAAAGTTTCCTATGAGCATATAGAGAGTAATCAAACATGCATTTCATGTTCAAAATATAAGGTAGGCATTGGGGCTTTGTATAAATTGTGGAACAGCAGTCACTTGAGGACTCCTGAGATGACAGCTGGTCTCTACCCAGGAGCTTTGAACCAGATGTTCAGAAATCCCAATTTAATCTACACCTTCTTCCATCTGGGACTCCTGGGAAGTTTAGGCAGTAAGTGGTCAGGATTTGGGAGATTAACGTGGTCCTTTATATCTTAAAATTTTATTTTACTTTTGTTTCTGTTACCATATTTGAGGTTCAGAAAAGGCAGAGGAGAGTGGGGAGGCATTTCCTGAGCATCTGCCAGGATACAGTGTGGTAGGGAGGAAGGAGGATGGGTTTTGGAGACAGGGAAGTCTGGGTAAGAGTAGTAACCAGTCCTTTTTCAGCTGCATAGTCTTAAGAGAGATTCCTTCTCTGAATTTTTATAACAATAACCTTGTATTGTTATGGGATAAATTAATTGAATGGTAGCTTTTATTATTGTTACTAGATACTCAGCCAGGCATGGCAAGATGGTCAGTCTCTTATCAAATGACAACTTTAGGGGAGGATGTGAGGGCAGCTGCGGACTGGGTGGGGAATAATACTGTTATCTGTTGGTGATGTTTGGGAGTCGTGAGCATGGGAGGCAGCTTAACCTCCTGGTAGATGCATTGCATATATTAATTCACAGAGTCACACAACAACTCCATAAAGTAGATATTTTTATGCCTGAATTGGAACAACAACAATAACAAAGGACTTCAGTATTTCCCTGGTGTCAGTTCATAGGGCCTGTTGTCTGTCAACAAGTAATACTTGAAATGAATATACAAAGACTAAACAGAAAGTTCCAATCACTTGGAAATTAAGAACCAAACAATTTTCTTGCTAAATAACTATTGAGTAAAAAATGGACTTTTAAAAATATAATCACAGATCATTTAGAGAAGGATGAAAATGAAAACATTACCTATTAAGGCTAATACTACATGGCCAAAGCTGCACTCAGAGTGAAATCCATAGTCATATACCTTTATTAGTAAACATAAAGAAAATAATTCAATAATAATAATATCTAATATTTATTTAATAGCATTTGCTCATGCTGTTACTAGGTTCCATTCTAAGTGTTTTATGTACATTAACTCATTTAATCTTCACCACAGTCCTATGAGTTAAGTACTACTATTACTCTCTCTTTATAGATGAGAAAACTGAGACATGGAAAAAGTAAGACACTTCTTTAACTCACACAGCTAGTAAGTGGCAGAGCCATGGTTCATAGTCTTTTAACCACTATATTCAAATTAACAGGTTGAAAAATAACAACACCAACAAAACTTAAGAAGAGCAGGAGGAAAAAAATAACATTCAATCAGAAATAAATTAATTAGAAAAGAAAAAATGGAAATAGTCTTTATCCTCTGAAATAGTTTTAACAATTGAAGGAATGAATAGAGCTGAGAAATAAAATATAATAATAAATATTGAGAAAAAGTGTGTGAATGCTACATATAACTGTTATGTCAATAAATTTGAAAATACCATGGGAATTTATATTTTTCTATAAGACTATACCTTTTAAAAAACTAATTCAAGAAGAACCAAAAAATCTGACTAGATGAATTACCAATGAATGAGCTTAAAGGGAAATAAAAAAAATTATCTTCAAAATTGCTCTAGGTTCACCCAGCAATGAAAAAAAGCCTATTAATTACTAATTTCAAAAATATTTATGGTTTCCAACATGTACAGAATCATGAGATTTTTACAAATTGCTGGGGAAAGAGCAAATTTGTGCCCTTTCTGAAAAACCATTTCAAAATAAGAATGTAGAGCATGAAAACTGTTCATACCATATATCCAGTAATTATATAAATACACTACTAGAGACTTTAGTATTTGGACAAGCGTATCATTAAACTATTACTTATGATAACAAGAATTGACATAAACATAAATGCTTGTGATAATATTGGGCTGTCGGAAAAGTCATGACGTATTTTTTCTGTTTTTTTGTTACAAAAATGCCTCATGAGTTTTCCGACCACTCAATAACAGGGAAGTCTTCAAGTAGATTACTGTACAAACAAAGGTAAATTATGGAGCCATGAAAATATAATACTATTTCCAAAAATTTTCTGATGGTATGGAAAATATTTACAGTTTTAAATAGAAAATTATGAAAACTATGTAAATCAATCTATATGCCTAGAAAAGACATTAATGCAGTGAAATCTTGATGGTGATGACCACTGAGTTGTGGAGTAAATATCATTTTATTTTTTTCTTATAATTTTATTTTTATGCATTTTTCATATTTTCTATAATAGCATGGCTTCTTTTTAGATACTCAGATTCTAGTGCTAGTGGTTATTCCTTTGATGTTTCTGTTAATGATAATCTCTACTGACTTAGAGTAGTTTTGTGGTAAACTCAGTCTGAACTTGTGTTGACTTTTTTTATGTCTTGTTTTTTCTTTTGTTTCTTTTATGTCTTCCCTGAGCAACAACAGTGTTTGGTCTTTTGCAAAAATCGAACTGATAATTGTTCCCAATAACTTTGTTGGCCATCTTTTCCTGTATTGTTTCTGCTCGTGGCTTCATTACAACTCCATCACTGGTAGACAGGGCTGTACGAGGTCCCAGATTTAGCTGGCCTGAAATAATACTGCATTTCACAAACACTGAAGTTTTACGTGACTTTTGAGGATCTTTTCTGTGTTTTTTTTTCTCTCATCTTCCATCCGCTGCTTTTTCATGAGCCAGTATTACACTTTAAAAATTATCGTCACATTACCCATGCATGAAAAAAGGTAGCTCACACCTTCACTTATCAATGTTCTTGGTCAACATACAACCACAAGACAAATTCCTTTGTCAAGATACAGCCCCAAGACAAAACATCACAATAAAATTTCACGCTCACCAAGGGGAATCATATAAGCTGATGCAGGGAAAACTGAAATTGTTATCATATCAAGTCCTTGTCTGGTAATATGATATGTCTCTCAATTCATGCACATCTGTGTCTCTCAGAAAAGTTTCCAGTTTTCCTCGTTAGGCTCTTGCGTTTTCTTAATGTTATTTTTAGAGATTTGATATTTTTATTGTTGTGAATGGGGTGTTTATTCAATGTAATATTTGAAGCGACTCTTGCTGATATATATATATATATTGTTTGTTGCTTTGAATCATACAACTTATGAACAGTTTCCTGTACTACAGTTTTTCAGTAGACTCTCTGGGAGTTGTATGTTTGTAACCATATTATTGGTAAATAGTGTTACTTTAAAAAGATAACTCTTCCATTTAATTATACCTTGTAGTTTCGCTCATCTTGCTGTCTTGGCGAAAATGTCCAGTGTCATGTCAAATAATGGTGATAGCAGGTATCTTGACAGCACCCAAGAGACCTGGTATGATAGTGGAAATGAGTCTAATATTTCACCAGGAAATAAGATTTGGCAAAAGGTTTAATATACACGTATTTTTTCAAAGTATCATAAGGCATCATCCTTTTATTTCTAGTTTATAAGTTTTTGAAGTAAGACTGAATGTTGAGTATGAAAATTCTTTTTGTTTCTGTTAGGTTATTTTTCTCCTTTAAATCATAATCTAATGATTGGCCCAACTCCTGGAAACAACATTAATTTTCCCTTCATAATCTTCCTAGATTTAATTAGCAAGTGGTTTTTTAGGATTTTTGTATCCTTATTCCTTAGGGAGCTTGGTCTTTGGCTTTTCCTCTTGTGATTGGTTTGTTGTTGAGGTTTTGAAATCAGTTCTCGAAAGCTGTAAATGAAATGGGAACTTTCATTCTGGAAAAGTTCATAGCCCTCTTCTATCCAAAGACTGGGTATCATACCCGGGACCCCCCTGATCGAAGCTCCCGACTGGGCAAGGCCACATGGAAACTAGAACCACAACATTTTAATGTTACTTTCCATCCTGCCTTTGTTCTAACATATCTACATCGTTAATAAAGTCAATAAGCTTCCCCTCCCCACTGAGTTTTCAACTGAACTTGTATTCTTGGGGTTCAGGTTGAAACACCTTTTAATGCATCCCTGATACTTGACCAACTAAAACAAAGCACCTTTGAATGGTACCTGAGGGTCAGGAACTCCTTTCTTTATGCCCCCACAGCAGGTTTTTATTCTCTGGTGTTAAGTGTTAGGACAAAATATCTACTTAGTTGCTTCTTTTTGTAGTACCATAATTATGTGCTTCTCAAGGATGAAGACTCCATCTTACACATTTTCTAATGGCTATACCCTGGCACGGGTCATGGCATATGATAGATTCCAAACAAATATGTATGTGTGTATGTCAGCGTCAATGTCTACCTGTATCCAGACACACATACAAATATATATGTATGTGTGTATATGTATATATGTTTACACACACACACACACACACACCCCTTTCCTAAATGCTATCAGTTTCAATGACTTTATTCAAAAGAGCACAGGGTAGGGTCGGCCGAGTGGCTCAGCGGGTTAAGAGTTCGCTCAAGAGTGCAAGCTCTGAGCAACAGCGGTTCGATTCCTGGTCCGAGCTGAGCTGCCACTGAGCTGCCAACAGGTGGCAGGATGGCTCAGCTTAAAAAAAAAAAAAGAGCACAGGGTGATGGAACAAGGACTAGATGGGGAATCTGATCCTTACACTGTCACTGGCCATTTATGTGCAATAAGCAGGTGACCCAGCCATTTTGAACCTTGATGTATTTGTATGAAAATGAAGGCAGGCCTGTGTTGTAAGATCTCTAAAACCATTCTGCACTTAGGAATCTGGGAGGAGGCATCAATATACCGGAACCCAAAGGGTTAGCCTTCATATGATCATATAAAAATGTCATCATCCATCTTGGCCAACAAATACAATCTCCAAACCAAGTTTCTGTGTGCTTTCCAGGGGTATTTTTCTGCACAGTACATCATGGATGACTTCAAGAGAGACCCTCTGTACACTCTGGACAACAATCACACCCACTTGCTGCTGGTGGACAATGGCTGCCATGGACATCCTGCGGTGGAGGCAAAGCTCCGGAACCAGCTAGAGAAGTTCATCTCTGAGCGAACTATTCAAGGTCGGGCATTGGGAAGACGAACATTAGACAAATATCAGAACGAGCAACAGCGCTAGCAGCAGCACCAACAATAGCACCAATCATTTAGTGAGACTCGGTGAACCCACCTGATTAGGTGTCCGATTGCCAAAGAAGAGTTATTTCTTGTTTTCCTTTAACGTGCTAGGTGTGCTTCTAGTCACCGGGATAGGTGCCCTTCAGCAGGCTGGGGCCGTGACAGATGCTGGCTTGTCCCAGCCTGGTGTGTCAGTATAGAGAGACTGCTGTCTCTTCTTCTGCTGGACAACACTTAAAAACAAGTAAAATCCACGACAGGAAGTAGGAGCTCATAGAGCAATGCCATTAGCTGGTGTAGACATGATACAAACTAACCCAGAGCTTCACAGTTGAGTGGTTTATTTCATGGAATCCTGGCTCCTTCTTTAGAACAGACCACTGATGAAGGGGAGAATGCAGCAATTTAGTGAAAGCCTTTATTTACCAGGAAAAGTGACACACTCTCTCTTCCTGTCGTTGAGATGTTGGTGTTGAGGTGTGTCCTGTCATGAAACCAGATTACTTTATGGCATGGTGGCAGACTTCTTAACAGGGACTTGTGTTTGCGAACTTACTCGTTTCTCGATGGGATGTATGTGAAGGGAGACACTTATATGTGCAATTCTCACTTGATAGAACACATAGTTATGCAAATTTTTACCCACTCAAGAAAGCATAAGATTATGCAAATGAGTGAGCATGTAATTATTATAAGGATAAACTTGAACCTGGCCTAATATATATTAGCAAAAGTAAATCATTTACGGACTTTAGCATTTTAAATATCAATAACAAATTGCCACACGACCTGTGTTATGCTGTGAGTGGTTTGGGACACAAAGACACATTCATCATGACTGACGAGTAAACAGTCAAATCTGTGAGATCAGTAGCCATCAGCCCACACCCTGGGCTCACAGGACAGAAGGTCCTGGTCTACCTCTTTCTTGAGGTAGCTGTCTTTTTTTTTTTTCATTTTAAGATAAAGAATAGGTACAGTTTATTTGGTTAGAAACATTTTTATATATATCATTAATTTCAAATGTTGGATTGTACCAAAATATAGATGGTCATTAAGAATTTATCAAATAGGTTATTCTATGTTGAGTATTTCTAATGAGCCCCAAATAAGTTTTGTGTTTCATGTTTTACAGATTCCAACTATGGTGGCAAAATCCCCATTGTGTGTTTTGCCCAAGGCGGCGGAAAAGAGACTTTGAAAGTGAGCCTTGGTTTGGTTTTCTAGAAGACTGGTTAACAAGTTTATTCAACATATTTGTATTTTCAGGGTTTGGGGGCTCGTCTAATCTAAACTGACTAATTTCTTTTACTACAGCAAGTAGTAAAAGCAAGTAGGTAGCATTTTTCCCACCTTAAAATGTTCCCTGAACAGGCCTAGGTGGCTTCCTCAGCTGAGAAGATTTAGGAAGAGAATTGGAAGCCACGTGAATAGCCTGGATAGTCAGTGTTGGCTTTGGCCAGCAACCTGCCAAAGAGAAAGGTTGAGATGAATCATGAGGCTTAAGCACCATAACCAGCAGGTATCTACATGCCACCCCATCTGCATGGAGATGGACTGTGGTCACACACATAGAGACTGTCCCAATGTTGCTCCCAGAGCATCTAAAGCCCACCCACGTGTCTCCAGGGCATGTATGGACTCCACCCCCACGAAGGAAGCTGAAACCCTAAGTGACTCTGAGATTACGGGAAGCATCTGCAATAATCTCACACCTGCAATGTTGAGCAAGTGAGCAAGAATTCTGCTTCCCACCTATCCTTGGAGACTTGGTATTACTGAGTTCATCTTGCCTGCAGCCAGGCTTCTGTTTGACTTCTTAGAAAGCATCAGTGTGACCGCATTTTAGCCGGTAATTGAAGGCATGAGCATCATTTTCATGATCTCATTTTTCTAGGAATAGGACATTACAAGAAAGTAATTTTACTCCCTGCTTTAATTAATTTCCATGTTGACGTGCATATCCCCCCCATTTCCACTCTCCTGCTTGAACTGGAAGATAGAGTTAGGTGATAGATAGCTGAGGTCCTTGACCCTCTCCCCTCTCTTTACCACAGTACACCTCTAGAGTTACAAGTGACTTCTGGCAAAGGTATTTGGAATCATAATCTAGCGTTTATCTTTGTTTATTCATTTATATAACAATGATTGTTTCATTCACTCATTCTTAACAGGTATTTATTGAGCACCTGCTATGAGATCTACTGCTGAGACCATTGTTTAATAAAAGTCTTCCAGGGGAAGACTTCCCAGGGGAAAATTACAAGAGAGATTTTTTTTCAATGTGAAATTGTCGGTATGTGAATGCTTGCAGAAGCAGCCACGTGAAAAGGGAAGAGAAATGGAGAGAAAGTCACTGAAAGATGACAACATATATTACCTTTCTCGAACTTCAGAGTTAGAATTCAGATTTCCAGAGAGAGTTGCAGCAGGCCCAGGGCACTGCATTTCTACAGCATTTTCTAGAAACATCTGCTCAACCAATTCACAGCCCACAGAACAGGGGATAGAACAGAGGAGGGAAAGGGAGAGGAACAACCAACTGAGCATGCCTTCAGCTCGTTGTCCCCTCATCTTCCAGCTCCCTCTCTTATCATCCCCACTCCCACCCCAGCACAGCCCTGAAGCCCTGACACCACCATTAGCGCAGGTGGTGAGATGAAGATGGGTCCTCAGCCTGGTGTGTGTGTCAGCCTTCTGCTTGTTCTGATGAAGGGAGCACACGCTTTACAAGCCAGGTCTTCTCTAAGGAAAGTGTCCAGCCCTGGCAAAGGGGAGGGGCTTCACCGTTTCTTCTGCACCTGTATGTAGAGCCCTTCATCCTGCTCTCAAGGGATTAAAATTATTAAGACCTGATTCCTCTATGCTGCTCTGTGGTCTCTGTCCAGGAAATAAAAATGTGGTAGGTGTTTATCCAGGAAGCAGATCTATTTTGATTCTTTTTAAAAAAAGAGCAAGGGAAATTATTTAAGGAGGGAGATAGGTGAGTCAACATAACACAACATGCGTAGCTGCTGCTTTGCATGTGTTCTCAGACCTTAAGAGCATGACTATGGTTAACCTCCGTCAGAGAAGCTATCACCAATATCGTTGAGTACCATCTTAAGAGCTGTCACTCCAATGCATGACGTCAGTATTTGGAATGATGGAATGTGTGCATAGGGATATTTTCAAGCACTCATTTATGGAAAACTTCAGCTAGTCACACGCATCCTTATTATGGAATTTGGTATTCGCGCAGGATGTCACGCAGCTGGCTTGCGTTTCTCATTCATAAAGCGCTGGCAAACATTTGGTTTGCTTCTGATTGGAAATGAAACCCCCAGTGCAGGCGTTTGTCAGTGTGTTTGGTCAACCACCTTAACTTAGAACCTTGGTCACACGCTGGGTTCTAGGGATCCCCAGTGTCTCGGTGTCCCCTCTCTCAGGCCATCAACACCTCCATCAAGAATAAAATCCCCTGTGTAGTGGTGGAAGGCTCAGGCCAGATAGCCGACGTGATCGCGAGCCTGCTGGAGGCGGAGAACTCCCTCACATCTTCCATCTTCAAGGAGAAGCTGGTGCGCTTCCTGCCACGCACGGTGTCCCGGCTGCCCGAGGACGAAACTGAGAATTGGATCAAATGGGTGAGTGGACAAGGGGCTTTTTACAGGGCTGCGGGGGGAGGGGAGTGCCTCAGATGCCCGAGTCCGCTGGTAGCTGCTGCTGTCTTATACTTTCTCAGTGACTTTGAAACCAGTTTTTTGTTGTAAATAGAAACTCATATAAGTTAAATGACTCGGCGAGTCTCCGTACCTCATAAGGGGTCGCCTGCGGGTGTTTTGACTCAAGCCTGTCTGTTTGCAAAGCTGGTAACCCTTTTACACCACGATGTCAACCAACGTGAAGCTGTGTTTTGTATAATATATCAGTGGCTGGGGAGGGAAGAAACTCCTGGTACTGGTGTTTCAGACTTGCAGATCCTAATTTGAGTCTACATCTGTCGGGGAAGCCGTTAACTAGAGAACGATTGCCTTTCTAGGTTAACTGGCCTGTGATTCAGTTCAGAGTCTCTCGCCTTTCTCATCAGATCATGTAAGAAATGTGTCCTCATGGGGCTATCTATTACACTCCTGATTGCTGAGCCTATCAAAGGATTGTAACGTAGTGCTATGCTCTCTCACTTTTCTCTTCATTTTATGACTGCTGTTGACTTGAAATGACTTTCATTTTCTTGAGTGCTCGCTTTGTTAGAGCACTCACATTCGTATCAGCAATTCATTCACATCAGTGCATTCAAAGATGGCATTGCTATTAGGATATGTTTAGGAGCATGTGGTGACATGTGGGAATTCTTCCAGAAAGAAAATCACAGGCTGTCGACAATGAAACTTATTTTAATCACAGAGCCCATTTCATCTTGAGA